CCACCACCAGGGACGACCTCGACAGGAACCTGCTCAGTGCTCTGCAGCGGACCTCCAGGCCTCCCTTTCGCCGAAACGCTGATTTCTCGCCATGGATCGTACTCGCCATTTACATAGATCAGTCGGCTTGTATTAGTGATATTCCAGCCTCCCAAGTACGCATTAACTTGCTCTGCGGTTCTCCCTGCTGCGATGCCGTATGTTTCGCCATTCGGTCCAGGAGGGAAGTATAGTCCGCATTGGCGAACCCAGTAGTCTGTTGTTATGAGGCGGGAAATGAGCGACGGACGTCCTGGGGGAGCGCCAACTTTCCAGTTTCCAAATGGTTCATTGCAAGTCATCCAGACCCATTGACGGCTCATGGCATTGCCCAGCGTCGTATCAGTGAAGAGCGGGGAGCTCGCGTTGTAGGTGTCGAAGCAGCCAGTATTGTCCGTGGTGTTGAAATCAGGGTACTCATATGAGGCGCAGTGATTCGGGAGTCTGGTCTCTTTCCACCATTTTGCGTATCCTTCGAGCGCTTTGTCGAGACCAACACCATCTTCGGACGGAAGGTTGGTGGGGGTGGCGTTTACGGCGTTTTCAATGTAGTCGCAAAAAGTGAAGAAGCCCGTGTTGTAGGAAAACTGATTACCCAGCCAGAGATAAGGCCCATGCGCCAGAGCAGCCATGAAGTCGTCATTATGAGCGACGTCTTGCATGCTAAACCTAGCCTTGAGTGCGTATTGCTCGTCCCGAGAGCCAGTGGTCAGGATGCTATCCATGTGGTCGATAACAAGAGAGATGTCTTTACTACAGTTCTTCGGCATGCCCTCTTGTGTAGGGAGGAAGTAGGCCCAATAGTCGTCAACAGCTTGAACTGATGCACTTGAGGCGTAGTAGGCCCATATAGTGCCTGGATCGAGGTTTGCAATCCATGCTAACAGTGCACCAAAGTAGCTACCGCCTATACCTATCCATGGAACATCTTTAGCGTTACTGCTAGCGTTCTCATGGGTAGCAAAAGGCAGTTGAACTTCACGTGCGAAATATGTTACATCCTTCATGCTGTTCTCGAAAGTAAGGTACTTCATATTCTCGGTGCTGAGGTTGGAAAAAGGTGTGCTAGTACCCCAGTACCGGTGTTCGAGAAGAATGGTAGCTGCTCCAATCTGCTCAGCCAGGACTCCAGGCGAGCCACTCTTGGTTAGAAAGCTGTAGTACATAGAAATATTAACTTCTCCAGGCGAAAAAAAGATCACTGGCGAGCCGGGGCCCCTCCAGTACGTCGTGTCGTAGTAGTAAAATTGATCAAAAGTCCCGAGACTAGGGTTGTTGTGATCTATCAATTGTTTGAAAGTGCTGTTCTTGTGGTAATGCATTTTCGGCGGCGGCTCGCTGTCTGTCATGGATTGGGCACAGCCCCAGCCTTGACAAGACGTTAACAACTGTATTCCAGGCTGTATCAGTAAAAAAAATAAAGCTCACCTCCATAAGGACCGCAGTCATACCAGTCCTCGCCGTAGTATTTGTCGACATAGTCGATGTTGTCATGTTGCTTCCGAGCTCGAGTAAATATAGAAAAGGCTGCTAATGTCAATAGGCTCTTCATGATACCTCTAGGGCTAGGTAATCAAGATATGGGAACAAGCACGATGTCGTCAATAGGAGAATGATGTGCAAATCTTCTTACATAAGTTCTAGCTTAAAAACCGCTTATCGAAAGCCCCATGATGACTGCACATGTCTTTATCTCCATGGTGTACATCTCACCGCATTACGGAGTAATCAACCATGTACTCCGGATGTTGTCAGCCCCTGTACCCCATCATCGCCCTCTACCGCTTCCGCCCAACGCCGCTCGGCCCGTCTCCAAGACGATCTTTCCAAGGTTGTTTGTCATGCGGATCCGATAATTGTTTTCAACATCCCGCTCAACTCTGCTTACCAGGCAAAGAACAAAGAAAACGGCCCGTTGCTCTAACGTGGGCTTCCTATTCAATTCTAATGATCCTGAGAAGGGGTCGATGTGAAGCGTTAGAGCCAACAACCTCGGTTACCTAGGTACACGGTTAGGCTTACGTCAGGAGCGGTTACACAGCATTCGGTGATAAGCAATCGATGGTCAGTGTAGAAGTTACTAGATATGGTGTTTTCCGTCTGCAGTCGCAGGATCGCAACATCATTTATCCGTCCCGAAGTCTAGTCGATAAGTGACTACAGCTAATGCCTGTTCCGACGTACGTAAGGATTTACCCTACACGTCGCTCGAACCCTTTTCTCAAAAAGACTACTTACATATCGTTCCGCTCGCATAACAAGTGCCTTCTTTCATCCACTACTCTCGCATACTCTAACAACAGCCGTAACCAGTATAACTCCATGTCTGCCTTACGGAGGACTCTGCGGCTCCAGATGGCTGCGCCTACACCGATTGCTTCAGCGTGCCTCTCGTGATTCTCACAACCGTCTCCTCGACAACATCCGCCGATAAAGAAGCAGAGTTTGTGCCAAAGATCAGGAAGACTGCCGAGATCAAAGGGAACAAAATGTTTGTACGGTACAAGCCGCGATCGGTGCCATTCGTCGAAAACAGTGCCCTTCAACACCACGGAGCCCGTCATGAGCAATGCGCGGAAACGAGCTGTGACTGATGTTATACAGCGAATACCATCCACGAGAACAAAAGAACTTACCGCTGTACGCATTACCATCAATATCTGGCAAGTACTTGTACGTGGCCATATCAGCCATAGATGTATGCGCTGCAGTTCGAAACTGGTGATCGAGGTAGCTGCAGGCATCTCCTACGTCCCAACCTCGCTCAGCACACCGCAGCTGTGTGAAGGCACAGTCCAAATGCTCGTCCATCCATTTAGAGTGCGGCGGTTCGAGTGTTGCTGGGTTCCCTAGAGAAGCATTCGTCCAGTCGATTTGACCACTGCTGATAGCCTCAAGAAAAGAGGAATTCATTGACGCTACAAAACGATGGCGATGAGATCTCATCCAGGTCAAGGAATTATGCCTGCCCCCGGTGTTAGAGCCCCGCCAGATGGCCTTGTTGTGCTTCTCTGACCACGCTACACCCACGGGTGAGTTGATCAAGTGTTCGGGGAGACTAAAACTGGGATCGTCCACCCACGTCCATAAGTCAGGGACTGTTATTTCAGCGCTCACGTGTCGTATGTGCGTTGAGGAGAAAATGGGTAGAAGGGTAGATGATGTCGACACCATGTGAGGCGCCAACATCGTGCCGTGGCTACCGGCCAACTCTGGTTGAGCGCACACATCTTGAACGGCAGAATTCGCAGGTGGTACGTGATCGGACGATGCGTTTTGTGGGGGGCAGACAATGCCGTGGAAAAGGTACGGAGGGATATCTGCGCGTAGTCCAAACGTCAACCGGAGAAGCTTCACACATGGCCATACTGCAGCTTACCTCGATTCCATCCGTTCACGACATCTTCCTCTCCAGCATGAAGAGCCCTATTGATGCCCCCGTGAACATGGATCTGGGCGCCTGCTGAGCGTGACACTAATAGGCTATGCTGGCGTGCCTGCAGTCGGGCTTGCTCCATCACAGACCAGGGAACGAGCACACGAGGTGAGGCATGCACACTTACCGCCACGTCAATATCTGGCAGCAGCGGGGCGATTCTCCTCAGCAAGCTCAATTGATCATCGCAAGTCATGTCCTCTTTCGGGCAGTTAGCTCGAACTACTCCGCGTCGAAAAGAGAATCCCTGGAGTCGTTCGATAGGCTTCTGAGATCTGGCGAGAGAGACGAGTGAGGCCGCAGCATTCTGTGTGGTCTGTGCTGGGATGCCCCAGAATGGCTCCAAGTCGTCATAGATTTGATCCCAGAATGGCTCGATCGAGATACCTCCTGACTGTTGAAGGCGCTGGTAAAAGACTCGAAAGCCTGGCGGTGGACATCTTCCTCGCCGTTGTCGGTATGATTCTACCGCTTGTGTGTATGTGTGTGTTTCTTGGGTCACCAAAGACTGGAAGTGGTGCTCGGCATCAGCAATAGAACGCTCAAGAGGATGTAATGGAGTATGGATTCTTGAATATACGATCGAGACTCCATACGCTACAACCACACTGAGAATGCATGTCATGAGCAGGCGGTGTTGCATGATTATAGCGAGTGCGAGCACAGTGAAAAGTTCAATGCGAAAACAGTAAGTCTGACATTCGTTCACATCCTTTTATATGCCTCTCTCCAACACCGCCCTTGTCCTCGATATTCTCTTCTACTAATCGAACGGCCCGATCATTCCTTACTCTCGGCTTCCTCTTCAGGAGCGGGTGCAGGCCCCTCATCTCTGAATAAGTCAATATAGGTGGCACGCTTCTTCTCCTTCATTTCGCCCTCTTCTTCCGGCGCGGGTGCGGGCCACTCATCTTTGAATAAATCGATGTATGTTGCGCGCTTCTCTTCTTTCGTCTCGCCTTCCTCTTCTTCTGGTGCAGGAGCTGGCCCTTCATCTTTGAACAAATCGATGTAGGTGGCACGCTTCTTCTCCTTATATTCTTCTACATCCTCTTCCGGCGCCGGAGCCGGCCCCTCATCTTTAAACAAATCAATATAGGTGGCACGCTTCTTCAAATTCTTAGGTTCTTCTGCATCAGCTTCAACAATTAGTACGGTTGTTGTCCTATCATGGGGCTGAAAGGAAACCTACGAGAAGCGGTTGCTACCGATAAGCCAACCAAAGCGATGAGGAGGAGGAAGCTCTTTTGCATCTCGGGCTTTGCGTACGGATAAGAATGTAAGATTTGATTTGTGGGTTTGTCTTCACACGATTCAACTGTGTTCGTGTAGCAAGAGACGAATATCTACGTGCGTTTCTGCGCAGCTATTTGTACGTCTCTCTGCTCGTAAAGATGAAGACGGTCTAATGCTCTTCTGGTCATGTAAACCCATTCGAGTTACGAATTTCGTACCAATGCTCGGTCATCTCCGGTACATGAGTTTGACTTCTGCAAAGTACACGCGGCCTACAGGAGGTATGACTGTACGGCAGAGTTGAACGAATAGCAACGCATGTCTCGAAAGTTTAACGAACTGCCGTCAAAATGTACCCTCCACTCTGAGTTACCGTACTTGTACTGTGTACTTGCTCGGTAGCTTGGCAATGGTTCGCCGAGCCGCGTCCTGATAGTTACGTACGTATCCAACTCGTCGCCACTCATCTCTTCTCACACTTGCGATCAACGATCGTCCACGTCGCTTCTCAAAAGACTATCCCCGCTTGCTCGATGGGTTCTGCGGAGGTACGTCCTAATTAAGCGTGGCCAAGCTGGATGCTTTGAGAACGGTCCGTTATCGGGGACGGGACGATGCCGCATACATTTCGTGAGCGCTAATCGCTCGTTGACTAAAGCTTCAGCTAACCCAACTACACTTCAGAAGGGTACACCAGCTTCGTACGTCTCTCCTCCAAGCTAGCGTTAAGCATGAACATTTCACCACAATGTCTGATATGTCCCTCGTCTGATGCCGTTGTAGGCATCACAATGCCTGTGAACTGCTGCCGGAACTGCTTTCTCCATGCAAAGACGCAGTGCGCAACATGCTGCTCGTAGGTGAACCATATGGTTCTCCCGGGCTCAATAAGCATTGATAGCTCGGTTCCGTTGATCAGGCGCTGCTTGCCATCCAGCTCCGTTTGGTATAGCCAAACACCCCCCGGGTCGGAACGAGAAGCCGTGGTGAACTCACGAGTGAGCTCGGAATCGATACATTCCGGTCTCAACCAGCACAGCTCGATCTCATCGAACTTGCAGTTCTGCGAGATTCCTTCGGCAGTTGTAACGCCGCACACGCATGAGGCATCATCTCGTATTAGTGTTGCGAGAGTTTGAGATCCGGCCGCGTAAGCTCCATAAACAGCCAAAATGGTAACAAGAACGGCAATAGCTACTCGTAAGATGAGATTCCTTCGCGGCTTGAGATCGTCGTTGTTGTATTTTGTGGATAGTGAAGTAAGCCCGACTCGCTCCTCTGCGGGTCCGGCTTCTACACCCATGCTCGATGATTTGAGGAAAGCGAAGAAGCGGCGAAACATCGGTTTTGTATATGTGTGAGATGTACTGTATGGTGTAAGGTGGGGTCTAGGGTAGATTTGTAATGGAGTACCTACTTTGGCTCCTCGTTCGATTGATGCGGCCTCACACCTCTTTTCCTAACTCATTGACTTGAGCAGCGAGGAATGGTATGGTTTGTAAAGCAGAAATGTACGCGTGTAGTCGAAGAGTGCATAGTATCATTGTTTGGCTGCAAGGTGGAGACTCTTATCTTTGGTGGAACGTCTTTTAGCTGACTTCAGCTGACATCATCTTGATCGAGGAGCAGAATTTGACCGAAAAGCGCGCAGTCTTTCTATTAAGCTTTCGATATTGAAGGTCTACAGTGATAGCGCCCGACAGGGCCGGCCCGCAGATGTACCGGAGCAAGGCCGTACGCACCTGGTGGAATAGCTTATTCTGCCCCAAACGCATGCAGCTTTGTAATGACACATACATCTACCCCTCAGTGACGAAGTTCCGAAGGTTCCGTCCTGCGATGAGGTAGTTCGTAAGCGTCTTGTTATGGAATTCATCGTCGTAGTTGATCGCAACAACGTGCAGCAAGTTTGATGGGCTTTCGATGACTTTGTACCTGTGCAAAAGGTATCGGACATAACAAGTTTCTCCTACTGAGCCATTGTGTGCTAAACACCATGGATCACTCGTGGCGTAAGCTACCTCAAAACGAAGACGCTGAGGAGTCAGAGGACCTGTTGCCATCAGGGGTTCCACACGGTGGAGTTCGCAGCAAACCTGTCCTGTCTCTCCAGCTGCTTTGCTCCTTCTTGAAGTACGCTGTGGTGGCTACCGTGTTCTTCGTTTTTGGCTTGATGTTCCAATATTCGCGAATAGAACAAGCTCTATCTGGTACGTCATCTTCCTGTCGCTAGAACCATTGCTAACACAGCATGACATTAGAGCCATCGTTCCTAAAGAACATCAATCGAAGTACACACCTCAATCACACAAACATTCCCCTCTTTGCAGAAAGTAATGGCGTCATCTGGCAGCAATCGCCTAGCCCAAAAGTCGATGCAGCATGGCATGCGCTGACCACGGGATATCCATTCCTGATAACAGAGGACGACATGCGCATCCTCGGGAAAGATCCAGATCGCTATATTAGCGTCCCCAAAGACTTCGGCTATGGCGAAAAAACGTTCATCACCCGATTCGCACATACGCATAACATCCACTGCCTAGACCACATCCGAAAACGGCTCTATCGTGAGCATTATGGTTATCCAAACGATACGATGGATTGGATCCACACGAAGCACTGTCTCCACGCTTTGCTAGATCATCTGACGTGCCACGTCGAGTACGATGTCATGAATTACATTTGGGTCGAAGGGGAGCCTACGGCGGATCCTGAGCTCACTTATAACCGTCAGTGCCGAGATCTGGACGCCATGATACGCTTTAGTGAGGATAATCGTGTTGATAAAGACCTGCGAGTATTTTATATTCAGCCAGCGGAAGGAGACCATATCTTCCCACCAAATTCAGAGTTCCGCATGTTAGAGAAGGAGTTCGATGAGAGCCATCCCAACCGTCCGTCAATGGAGGAGCGACGGAAGACTTACCGTAAAGCCTACGATGATGCGATAAGTTACTGGCAGGAAACGGGAGAAGTGCCTATCGAGGAGAGGCAATGGTAGATATCTACGAAAACATTCAACAATACCTGATATGGGGAAGTGCTTTTTCTCGCGAAGGCTTTACCTGGTAGAGGGGTAACAGCCTGGATGCATCCAGAGGTTGACAGGAGATTTTTCTAAAACATGTAAATCAATACCAAAGGTCTAAACAGCCCATGACATGAGACAAAGATCACTACCGGATATGCCTGAATGGTTTGCGAAGAAAAGACATTGACTAGACAACGTTGTCACACACACGGTATGTACAACATTGAGACCTCGAAGCATCAGCAAGCGCCGTCTCCAAATTCCTCAAGTTCCTTACTGCTCGGAGACTATGAAGTTTTCTGGGTCTAGACCAAGTGGCGAGTCAGCAGGCTAGTCTTCAACGGAGTCGTCATTTCCTACCAGACGCTCTAACAAAGCGATTCTCTCACTATCGCCGTGTAGGCCCTGACCTTCTAGAAGTTGCCTAAGTTCCTCGTCTGTCTTCGAATCCGAGGCGTTAAGCTAAGCTTCCTGAAGTTCTTGCTCATCATCAAGGATCTCGTCGTTCACGATACCCTATCTATCATCTCGCCGTCTAGGACATCATCAATCAAGATTCTGTTACAAGTAGAGGTAAACTTCGATTAGACGCTGAACATCTCAATCGTGGCAGACATTGGTAAAGAAGTTGACGATCTGGATGAGCATCTGGAGGTCGGCATTTGCGGTACGCGCGCGCTAAGAGTACCTAGGTACGGTTTGCTCGAGAAAGAGAATATTGAATAGATTGCTCAGATGAGGCCATGATGGTTAGAGGACAAGAGTCCGACTTCATTGGTAGGACCTAGGCTGACAAGGGGAGGCGCGCGCAAATGCGCGCTTGTGCAATATTGACCTGCCTAAGTAAGCTGGCAGTTTTGCAGACTGCAGCACGCCCTTGTCGTGAAGGAGGGTTATCCTAGATAATCGCGATCGTTCCTGTCACGTAGCTTGAGTCACGTCGCGTTCGAAAACGTATTAGCGTTCACGCGTGAGCTGTACGTCAGACCTCTCTTCCCAAGACAGAAGCAATATTGGCGCACCCGCCCAGCTTCTATAAATGAGGGAATGTACGTAAGAACAAAGATGCCGGGGCCGAGCTGCCGATTGTTTATTATGTCTGGGAGAAGGGTGACGCGTTTTGGCGTTCGCCGGATGAATGTGTCGCCAGAAGCGGATGAATGGGTTGGGGGCCAGATGCCGTGCTGCAGGGTAAGGCGGCCAGTGCAATTTCCTGGGTCAGGGTCTCAGGGGCACCCAACGCCTGTTCACGAACGATCATCATCAGGGTAATGGAAAAGCAAGAAACATGGGCTTGACGACATGGCATGGATGGTTTCTGTATGCAGTGATTGCGAGAGCTGCACGTTGGAAAGTAGGGAACTCAATTGTAGAAAGTGTCGATTTAACTCCATTCATGCCAAAGTATGTACAAACAAGGGTATCGGACGTTGAATAGTCAGATCGTGAAGTAGAGGTGGAAATCATGTCATTAAGTAGCCGACTCTTCTCAAGAAAGGGCAAAGAATCTAGGAACAAGAAGACCACCGGGACCACACGACTCCCTCCATAGGGCCAGTAAGCATTCCAACCAAGGCGTATTACAATACCAAGTATATTAACCATCGAAATGCTGCTGCGACTGTTATTGCGCAAGGAAGCAAGAGTCCGTACCGCCAACACCGCGCTCCCAATCCTAGACTGAATCGTGATGCAGAGTTGAAGTCGTAACCCGTGAAGCCATGTTTTATTTCCTCCTCTTTCCAAAACTCGAGAAGAGACTAGCAGAGACATGGAGAACCATATCCCGACAAATCACTCAAGAGCGAACCGCTTACAAGAAAGCAGCGACGGCACCAGCGATGGCGAAGAAGCCAACGGTGGCCTTGCCAGCGGCACCAGTGAACTCAGGGGTGGCAGGCTTGGTGGAGGTGGGCATGGCACCAGTGCCAGTGGGGTAGGGAGCGCCAGTTCCGGCAGGGACGTGGGGAACGGTGCCGTTGGAGCTGGGGTACATGGGAGCGGGAGGAGCAGCCGAGTATCCAGGGGCAGTGTGGGAAGCCTCAGGGACGGAAGGCTTCTCAGAGGAGACAGTGGGCATGGGGACAGCCGGAATCTCGGGGGTAGGGGTGTGGACGTAGGTAGCAGTGTACTCAGGGATGCTGAGGGTGGTGCTGCTGGAGATGGTGTAGGTGGAGGCACCGTAGGTGATGGTGGTGGGCTCAGGGCAGACGTAGCTGGTGGCGTGGACAACCTCGGTGGTGGTGTAAGCGGGCTTGGAGGCGCTGTAGACGGGGGCAGCGGAGCTGGCCTCGTAGGCAGGCTTGGAGGCCTCGTAGGCGGGCTTGGAAGCCTCGTATCCAGCGGAGGAGGTCTCAGCGGGGTAGGCTGGGTACTCAGCAGCGGAGGAGGCAGCCTCGTAGGCAGGGGCCGAAGAGGTCTCGGCGGGGTAGGCCGGGTACTCAGCGGCAGCCGAGGAAGAGGCAGGGACAGCAGGGTAAGCCTCGTACTGGGGAGCAGCAAGGGCAACGGCGGCGAAGCCAGCAATGACGGCGAAGGAACGCATCTTGATTGTTGGTTTGGGGGGTGGTATTAAAATACGGAAGGTATTAAGTTATAAGGCGTTGGAGGTCGTTGGAAACGAGTGTGATCGGTGATAACCGTGTATTAGTGAGTGTAATGAGTGTGTGGTAGAGAATCAACTGAGGAGCAGCTGGCGAAGACATTATATAGAACTATACACGAGCTGGCCTTACCAAGAAAGCCAGCATCTATGAACAGGGGCGCTTTGGCATAGTTTCGCTCGTTTGGCAGAATCGCGAAAGCTCTGGCGTGCCGGTGGCGCCGTTTGGTGGACTGTGCCTGGCGATAGTACGGGATAGGGGAACCTGTGGAAAGGTTCGACATGGGCCGTTGTGAGCTGTTTATTGATGGATGTCGAACGGACCAATGAAATGGTAGACGACGCGCAGAAACGAAATGAGCTTGACAATTTCCCCTGCCAAGGGGGCCTTGCCGCCTCAACACATCGCCCGTCGTCCTAACCGCTTTCGCTTCAAGTGTTCGACTTGTGCACGCAGAACATGTTCAATCGCCCGGTAGATACCTATCTCCGGTCTGTGATCCGCACCTGCATATCAGCTCGGAACATAGGAAAGGTCGCGCGACCACGTCAAAGTGTAGTTTGCATTGGGATAGGTGTAGAGCCACTGACTGTGACCGTCACAATGAACACCTGAACAAAGCGATGATTAGGGGCTCCTTGCTAGTCAGCATCGAAATATCGATCACAGTGGAGATGGCTAATCGTGACAACATCTGGAGCAATCCCCGCGCCCGAGCAAAAATAGCTTCCAGTGCTGATAGGAGAAGGGCCAAATTGGAGCGGTCTGCTGGTGTCGAGGTCGTTGTTCAACGATGGAGCGGGGACGTGCGGGTTCCTGCATTGTCCTTGCATCTAGACCTGGGACTAGATCTAGCGAAGGGCCGACAGCCCGTCCAGTGTCGCACGAATTGGCAGCCATCGAAGATGTCGCGGAAAGTTACTGCCGAAGTTTCTGTGATGTCTTGGAGGCTGATCAGTTTCCAGCTCTTTCTCAGCTCTTGTCACACCCGGGCTCGTCTTACGAGAGCCATCCAGCGTGTAGGTACGCACTCGTTGACGAAACGGTAACAGCGCAATCTCGCCTCCAGTATTCCCAAGGAGAGGCGCATGAACTAAGTGAGCGCCACAATAGTAGTCTCAGGTTACGCATTAGGCGCGGCACCTACTTGGGCATGAGTGTTTTACTGGAGAGCAAATGACGTGCCGCACAACACGAAGGAATCCCAATTTGTTCGCATTATCATATTCCACAAATGGCTGTTATTTCCGGGTAATCGCTAGAGGATAATTGAGTCGGTAAACGGTGAGGCGTAGTGTAAAATTAGGGAGGAAGCTACGGTGAGGGAAATGGGTGTTCTTGTCGCTTCTAGCCCGTCGTGCCGGAGTGACGCCGGCCACGCGAGAGCCCCTCGATAACGCAAGACCGACTTTGACTTCACCACCAACTCCAGGACTCCACGATTTGAGCACACCACCGCGCTATTCGATACCTGTACCGCAGGATTTTCCGGACCTGTATACCTTTCTTGCGGGGTGCCAAAGATCTGCTTACTTGTTAAGCTCACATCCTTAATCCCACTCTAGTTGCATCGACTGCATGGACTGTAGGAGCAAGCGGTGCATATTCAAGCATTTTCGACAGTAGAATGCCGAAACCATCAGGTGCAGTGCCAAAGGGATGGGATGGGCAAACCATCTACCTCCACGCACCTTCCTACTCGAAGAAGCTTGGTGGTGACAAGCTCAGCGCACTGATACTGCCAAAGTCCAATCTAGCGCCCGATACACAGGTTTATAAGCCTAAAGGACCATACTCAAATGTCAAGATCACATCAGTGACAGACTCTACACACCCTGCACATGGACAGCATGCGCTATATGCTAACCAGCATCTACCACCAGACTCGTTCATCCTGCCATACTTGGGCTATGTGCACGACCAGACTGACACTGACGAAGCATCCGACTACGACTTATCACTCGACCGCGAACTAAGCATCGGCGTAGATGCGTCAAAGATGGGCAACGAAGCGCGATTCATCAACGACTACCGGGGTGTCTGCCCCGCACCGAGCGCCGAATTCCGCGATATATTTGTGGACATCGGGAACGGGAAGGTGGAGAGGAGAGTCGGTGTCTTCGTGCTGAGTGCTGGCAAAAGTGGAAAGAGAGCGAAGGGTATCGGGCGTGGACAGGAGATCCTCGTCAGCTATGGCAAAGGATTCTGGTCAGATCGACAATCGACTGAAGAATGACATGCCTGTGCAGCTGCTTTCTCCAAATGTCGCAATACGTCCCATCACTTTGATGTTTCTTAGCCGAACACTGGTACACGTTTGCTTTTCGGAAAATTTCTTGTCGTACAACGGGAGTTCGAGCAACGACGTTAAATGATCAGCGCGTTTAGGCCTTTGATCATCTGAGACCAAACCATCCCGAACAATACCACCGTGTACGTATCATGCGAAGTCCATAGTTGGACCATGACGCTTACTTGAGGATCTGCGAATACCGGAATGGCAGAATGTACAGTTGCGGCACGTCCGGACGATGATAAGCCATGGTCTTATTTCCGCTTTCAATGATTAGGCTATACTGGACACGGGCATCGTAAGCCTTGGAGTACGCATGCCGACGTGGCACTTGAGCGCAACGCTCCCCTGTGGCGCGAAGGATCAAGGGTCTGTTCTAGAAGCCTTGTCGTGGTGCTTTCCGTGAACCTGATACGCTATATGCGACGATCATATTTCGAACAGCCCTGTTATGCCCATGTCTTTAGTTTAAGGCTTGCACAGGGACGTCACACCAAGCCGAAACCCGGATACACGTGGGACTGAGCCACTAATGTGGCGTCAAACCTGATTTTTTGTCTTGTGCTAAGTCTGGCTTTTAGCCTCTAGCCACGCGGATCGAGAGACTACGAGCAATCAAACGCAGCGCCTATTTTTCTTTTGGGATTTCTCCAGGAGAGCCACATCTGTGACATTGTTGGGCACTGTGATTGCGCCCTGGGCTGCAGCATAGTCGACCAATGTTAGCACCATGCTGATGTGACGTCGGAGGACACCTCCGCGCCGCCCCAGGAAGTTTTCGCACCTATTGTTAGGAGTCATTTTTATTTCAGCAGAACGTCATTTTGTGTCATGCATGGTATTTTCGCATCATGATGGGATTCTGATGGAGGGTTGAAAATTCGCATGCGAAAATATCCCGCCTCGGGTCTAGTGACCATTGCTACCCACAAGTGGAAGGCAGAGTTTGCAGGCCAGATTATTCACGAAAACGCAGGTACCCTGTGCTATCACATTGTTCAAGGCCAGTTGTGTACGATCTTGCTACTGGATCGCGATCCTGCACCATGGCCCTTATTTCAGGTTCTTACCAGTGACGTTATGTCGCTTAGTTTACCTTTCAGAGCGACATGGAGATCAGCAAGGGGGGCCAGCTCCGCCAATCACAACAGGACATTCGCGCAACCCCTGGCTATCCCGACAGGGTTTTGCGAAACGGCCCCGTTACCCAAAGGTGTCTGGACACACTGACCGCGGAAAGACGGATTCAGCCACGCTGTGTTTCGGAGCAGGTATGCTACTCGCACGTCATGGCCTATTCCGGGATGTGAATGCGTGGCCCCATCGCAAACTGGTTAAGTTGCCAGACATTCCCCAGACCGAGTGGGCATACTTTACTCGACCGCAACACTCTGGAATATTCTGTCACCGTCATCCGTCGTAACAACCGCATCTCAGCCATCACCGGTTTCTCACGATACCATCACCTTATCAATCAGCAATTCTCCACTTGGTTCCACCACCAAGAACTTTTACGTACCCACACTTCTGGGGCTCCGCCGATCTCTTAGCACCTACGCACCTTACGCACTTGGCATTGTCAACTGGTATTTCTATCAAGACCCCGAAAACCCCACATCAACAGGAATCAAATATCCCTCCCCGTCTAACGACACGAGCACCAAACAACACCACACCAGACTACACCATGGCACCCATGTCGAGACCCACATTATGTAGAGTGAGTTTCTCCGAAGTACATCCCCCCTAACATATACTAACATGCTCATGTAGAACGAGTCGATGCAAAAGTACATGCTTCTCTCAGCCCAGAAAGAAGCTCTCCAGCGCCGCATGGCTATGGAGATTCCTTTCAACGCACCTATGGCTGCCACTTCCCCGGAGTTTCAATCTCTTTCGTCATCGCCTACCTCACCAACAAAGTACTCAACGCCGTTCCCCGCAGCCAGTGAACCCGTTACCGTCAGCTCAAGGACCGGCGGAACCCCGCGCAACAGCATCGACGACATGCACACTGAAGAATCCCACAAGCTCGCGGAGATCAACCAACAAATCGTCGCTACACTCACCGAACTCATGAATACAGAATGTATCCGCAACGACGAGAAGCAGCGTGCCTGGGTCCAAGGCCGCCTCATGGAAGCCGAACACCAAATACGTCGTGAACGTCGCCGTCACTCGTCAAACGCTGGCGGCGACTTTGCAGACGCCATCGCACAGCATCTCGAGCTTGGTCTCAACACTTCCAAGACTTGGGCGTAAACTCCCGCCTTGACGCACGTCTGTATGAAGCGATGACGTGAGGCTTACGATGATTACGATCGTTCTCAAATCTTGTACTTGCGATGGGCGCTTGCTTTTTGGCTGGCAATGGCGCAATGGTTCTGAAATGAAGTGCTCAAATCAGACACAGATACCCCCTTCGGTGCATAGCATCAGTTCGATGGAACTGCTAGGTTCCCGAATCACACTCTGTATAGTTAGTTTACGAATTCACGATCACTATATTTGTCATCATCACTGTTCTTCATGCTGTCATGCTGTCCCGTGCTTTTACGCCATAATTATTGCGGTTCCCGCAATGTTTCTTGTATAGTTTGTTTTAGGTCACCCCAAAATAACCCTTTGCAAGCGTACCGGAGAATTCGCCGGTACAAGATGTCCTATCCAATTGGAAGTGTTCGCGGCGGACTGGTGCGCGGTCCCTGCATCTCCTCGTGCAGCGTGCTTTTTTGTGAGTTCTCTCCACACGGAACGCTGACGCGTGATGGTTATGCTCGACAGTTAGGATAATATCAAACTGCATTTTCCAGCGGGGTCGCCCCTTGCTTCTGTTATCTCAACCACTACAGCTGATGCATAGACATCGATAACGCGGATGTCATCCACCAAGCATGCTCCTTCTCGTTTCTTCTAATGGGTGCCTCTGACGTCACACCACGCTTCCCCTCAATAAGCAGCACCAGACGCGACACACCCTCCAAAACGCATCCTAACGCCCAGCAACCTGCCGTATTCTGGTTCGAAGCCGTTCATACTCCTCAACAGAAATTCAAGCAGCGAACATGAGCGGTTCGATCTCGCTCTGGGGCTAGAGAGTCTGCATTATCGGTCCGTATACATGCAGCATGGGATCGACATCGCAGCAGCAGGCTTGCGCAAGATTATCTGGCCTCTACCCCTCATTTAGGAAGGGAGATGTATGGGTGTGGTTCGGATGCGGGGCTGTTGGCTTTAGTTGGCCGTTTTGAGGGGGCTGGGAGAAGAGGCTTAGGGTTGGCAGGGTCTAGGCGTGGTTTGGTGGTGTGGTGGTGTGATGTGGTGTGCTGCGATATGGCGTGGAAGAACGTTCTCGAGCTGGATGCACAGTCGGAGAATCTCGATGGATTGTGAGTTGAGCCTGTGCTGGGGCGATATTGTGTTACCGTTGGTACGTAAGCTTTACAGGCTCGTGTAATGATATGAGATAGTATCTGCGTTGCGCGATGATGGATGAGTCTTGTCCAATGAGGTATGCATCTGCGATGCCAGTATCGAGGCTGGAATTTGCTCGCTGGATATAAGGCTGAACCTTCATCGTTGACACTGGAAGCAGCGCCCAATTCCTTGACCATGGCTCACCGTTTTCCGCTATCCGATGACGAAGCTCTGTTCTGCATCACTACTCTCAGATGCTATATCACAATGTTGCTTCTTTTTATATAGCTAGATAATATGAAATAGAGGCTCTCCGTGCGGTTAATTGATAGGCTGTCGTTGCACAGCCTGCCTGTTAGAAGGCGCTCTTTCTTGGCATAGGCAGCACTCAGAACGCATCTACAGCCCCTCACTCTCAGCCTTTCGCAGTCTTCTCATCTAGAACAAACTCCTCTATTTCTCTATTGTTAGCTTGCGACAGCTGTCTTGGTAGTCTTTGTCCCTTGTCTTTCGTTTCAAATACCGACAGGCTTTATTGTCGATCGCAAAGCCCCTCACAACTGTACAGTTGCCGCTCGTAACCACATAGGTGGCCTAAGCTTATGACTCACTCTATTCGCGTAAGGTGCTGGATCTCGTGAGTATGGGCGAGAGCGTTAAAACTACACTACTACAGTCTTCGTGGTCACCGAATCCAGATGCGCTATACTGCGAACAGTGCTTGCAGGTGGACAGATCCTTCAACGATATACCGAGCCTAGTGGTGAGTGATCAGACTCACAGAGTGATCTGGTCCTTGAAAGAGGATGCAGACCACGCCAAGAAAGATACGACATGTCCGTCATGTAAAGCTTTCCTTGACATAGTGGAAACAGAGGATATCGGAACTAAGGATATCATACTATGGTTCGACTTTGAAGAGGCAATACTCTCAGGATTCAAAGGCAGTGTAAACCCTTATCTGCTCCAGCGCTCCGAATATCCTTTGCGGCTTCGGAACGATCCTCCCGCTTCTACTAAAGCCGCGAATCTTCCAATTGAAACGATCAAAGCATGGATACGGACGTGCGAGCTTTCGCACATAAGCTGCAACGCCCAAGAAACCACAATGTCGCTCTATCTGGTTGATGTGGTCGCGGAGTGTATCAAGTTTATGCCAACAGCACGGACAAACTACGTTGCTCTGAGTTATGTCTGGGGCAACGTTGAGTGCACCAAATTGAATCGCGAAAACTTGAACGCTCTCCAGGCCGCTGGGAGCCTGTCATCCGAATCAGATATCGCTATAATTCCGCACACGATAAGGGATGCGATGCGTCTAACAGCAGAACTAGATATACGCTACCTATGGGTAGACTCCCTATGTCTAAGGCAGGACGATCCTCTTCTTAGTCGATACTTGAACCAGATGCATAACATCTACCATAATGCATATTTGACAGTTGTGGTGGCAGACGAAGATAACGCAGACGGTGGTATCACTGGATACGAAACCTCTTCCACTGGCCGCCAATTCGCTGATCAAGTGGTGAACTATCCGAACTACGTGCTTGGCCTTAGCAGGAAGACATCGCCCGATCGTCTCGAACTTCCATGGTTTTCGCGAGGTTGGACCCTACAAGAAGGCTTTTTTTCTCGACGGGCGCTAGTAATCAGCGATCGCATCCAATTTAGATGTGCAGAAAGTTATTCAAGAGAGGGTACAATCGTGGGACACAATGCCTTCCTGCCGTCGAAAGAAATGAGAACAATCCTGGAGTCTATTTGCCAATCGCCTACTGATGTTCATTCCATGGGAAGTTGGTCTTCTCGACTTTCAAGCTTCAATAGATGGCAAACGTATTCAAAACTAGTACAAACCTTCTCTTCCCGAGAATTTTCGTATGATAACGACATCATGAAAGCATTTTCAGGTGTTGTAAGCTTTTTCACGAATTCCAACAATAGCAACCATGCCTTCAGTACAGAGTTGCTATATGGCCATCCGGTACATATCCTTCCAAAAACGCTCTTATGGATCACGCAGGAGTTCAACATAAGAAGGAGGAATTTATCTCCACGTCACGATGGATCGCCTGCCATCCCAAGCTGGTCTTGGTTGGCCTGGCAACATAAAGCTGAGCCAGAACTGTCGGAACTGTCTGAGCATTTCTCGCTGGAGGAATGGGACCACTTTATAGACCTCGACCTACCTACAATCATCCAGGCACAATGCAGCACTTGTATACAAACGCATAAGATGGAGATGAGAAGATGCAGTAACAGAGCAGCTCTGGAACGTATGGACCCAGATCGCCTGGATCCGTACCTGTATATCAAAGCACAAAGAGCACATTTCAGCTTACTAGAGTATTCAGAAGGAGATGAAGAAGAAGGCGTCCTGGTACGTTTGGGTGACGTGAAGAATGAGGATGAAGAACCCAATGCCGTAGGAATGATTGTTTTCGACATCTGGCCTCCAGAACAGTCGTTGGATAGAGACGGTGCTTTCTATTTCATTGGGATGTTTTGTCAAGATGACATCTATGAAGTTCTCCAAGTGAAGGCACTTTGTATCAAACCAGTTGGCAATCGCCCATTTGTATTTGAGAGGCTTGGTGTCGCTGAGATACGCAAAGACGAGTGGGATTCTATTGCTTGGTACGACGAGAGCATAATACTAGGCTAGCTGATAATATATCACTTCCTCAATCACTGGTACTTCGTACCATTCGAATTTGGGACGAATAATTCATGGTCATCAAAAGCTTCGTTCCCTCAAGATGTAGATGGTTTCGCAAATGAAGAAGGCCACGTGGTCTCCGCGTGACTTTCAATCACTCGAATTACCGTCGTATATATATACTGCATTCCAGAAACAAGCGAAGGGCTGTATTTTTTTGACATTTCTCAATGTAGCGGACAACAAGAACTTTGTCTCATAAGACTTCCCAACATGCACATTCAAATGAGCGTACTCCTTGACCTAACAACAATACGTCCCCTTAGTAGACATCTCCCATCTCATGAAAATCGCTCCGTGAGCGCCCACTGTTGGGGCGGTGTCTACTTGCACCTATAGTAAGAGGTGCAAAACCCTCCTTGGAAGCAGATAGAAGTATCATACTTGCACGATCCGCAATTGCAGATCTTATAGGGGCCCTGGTAAAGGATATCAGTAAGTTTTGCTGGAATCGCGTGCGGCCACTGTTTACCTGTGAAGAGTTGCAAACAGCGCCGCAACCCACAGTATCCTGACGAGCCATCATCTTGGCGCTGCGCGGTGTAATAGCTGCGCGTTCCTGCACAGGCGCAGCAGAAAGGTACTCAAGGCCAGCATCAGCCTCAGGTATCTTGCTCAGAAGTGCGTGTGTGTTGGCGATAAAGCCGTGATAATCAGCTGGGTTGGTAGTGGCAAAATCCCCATTTGCAGTTGCGTCAACGTAAATGCATTGTCCAGCGGTGGAGGAAGAGTACAGGCCTTTTGGGCCAAACTGAGGATACTTGTCCTGTACGCTGGTGCTGTTGAAGGTGTTGTAGGACACAGCAGTGCAAGAGTCGAAACTGCCAGCGGTAACCACCGGAACAGCGAGGAGGGTAGCGAGACCGATAGTAATGGCTTTGGACAGAGTCATGATTGGGTTGGGATGAGGTGGTATGGATAAGAAGCAGTGAGAGTCCTTTGAGGAGAAGAGAGTACTGTTGGCTGATTGCTTAACGACTGCTAACAACGAGCACGAAGCCCTTCTTATACGTCAACTCGACGACAGCAACCACGAATGATCGTACCACCGCGTCTTTTCCCCTCATCTTGAGTTGGCGATGTTGGTCAAGCTTCATTGGAAGTTCCAGACGAAGTCAGTCTACTTGATTGCGAAGGATCTGGTTCCCAGTATTACCGTCAAACCCGTGCGTGTAGAAGCAGCGCCGTCGGCGTGAAGCAGCTCATTCATTCGACCGGCCGTATCTCGATCTCTTCTTGGCTAACAACAAACTCATATTGCAACTGCATAGTCTTAGATCCTTCTCTCACACAGTACAGCCTCGGGTGAATGTATACGGCTAGATTTGCGATAAATGTCGGGCGTAAATCGGGCGTAAACCCAAGACGGATGTGAGAAATCAAGATCCGATCCGGGTGTATTCAGACCATGGGCCGAACCGCTCACATGCGGAAGTCTGGATCTATATAGGAACGACCTTAACTCCAAGGGGGTAGGCTAGACATACATAGAGCCCGGTCGTAGCTTGGGGTCGGGCCGTCAATTCCCGCTCCCTACTCCAATGATCGCTTCGAAGGCACAGCACTTGTTGGTAGCTTACTTGCTCCTTGTGTTCCGGTGAGTCTTGTAACGCATGCGCGACATGGTGTTTTTCAGCTTTTCATAGAAAGCATCCATTCCACTCGAAGCGACGTAGAGAGAGATGCTTTTAGGCAGCATTATGGAATGCGCTGTAGTTTTATTTCCGTCAAGCATAATGCTGCAGCTCGTTTTTCCATCTTTGCAACGACCAAGTGGAAAAGGCTAGCTCTCATCCTTTATCGCTTTTCGCTTTTGTGTAAGATCGGAGCTTCTGACTGCGATTTGGCGAAGATACACAATGCCTAGGTTAAGATTTCCTGAAATGTGGTGAAATCGTGTAGAAGGAGTTGTACGACTGTTCTTGGACGCATCGGAGCGTGCCCTTCATCCATACAATCCCCGTCGTTTGGCCTCGTATGTGCTGACTTGCAGGGCGCAGAGCCAAGACCAACTAGAAGCGCAATTGACATGGACGGAACAGGAACGGCAACATGACTTTGAGTAATCCTAGACTCAGCGTCGAGATTTGTGACAACTATTGAGAAGTCATAACGTCAACGATACTGCATGATCGCGCCTTATGTCATATCCGGCTGCCCAGGCAGAGCGGCGCCATGAGTACTGTAACCACCATCGAAGTTGCTCTCGTCTACTGCACTAAACCACGAATGTTCAGCCAATCCATCATCCCCTAGCAGTGTTTCGCTTATTCCTTGACCGAGATATGCGACAGGCGAATTCGAGCCATTTGGTACGGATCTAGAGTTTTGGGAGCGACCTGCATCAGCACCGTAACGTGTTTCATTGCCTATTCTGCTCTGATGACCGTTCGCGGCCGAAGACGGAACATTGTCATCAGGAACGGCCTTCATCAGCGTACTTGAAGTTAGATCTAATGATATCAGCGCTCTCTCGAGGAAGTCGGCCGATTTGCTAGAGAGACGTATGATCCATCTATATTCATCCAGATGGGCTCGATATTTCACTGATTCTTCTCTATCGGGAGATGTCACCCACAGAAGCGAGATGAAAGAGCCAATGAGTACGAAGTTGTATGTGGATGATGAGTACCAAAAGGATTGGAGATGTTCTGGTCGGAGCGATTGAACGAAGGCGAAAGCAGATGTGAGTCGGCTTTGTGCAGCCTGGCGGCATATAGCGCGGATTTCCGGACCGTCTGATGGAGACAATGAGCGAATGATACGTCGGTGCAAGGTCATTTCAACTGCGTAGTAGCCAAGGTGGAGGTAACCGACGCTAGAGAGCTTCCTTGGAGCTATGTCCTGCATCTTGAGCGCAGACGGCATGTTGGCGTACCATTGACGTAGTGTAAGCTGTAAAGGCTTGGCTGCTTCAAGTAGCGATCTAACGCCTTCCTGAGTACGGCTGGCGAAGTCGCGCTCAGCCTTCAGAGTGTAGAAAGTCGATAGGATCTGTGCCAGAATTTGTGTGAGTTCTACCATGTAACAAAACATGATTCGTCCTTTTTCCACCTCGGTACTTCCGTCTTCGTCATCCTCATCGGCGGCGTTCTCTGGAAAGTCGTCTTCAGTCAGGGGCTGCACATCCCAGTCTGTTGGCGTGACGTGTGAGGGGCGACCGTGTATAAGAGAACCCCATTTGTCCTGCATAAATATGGCCCAGGCCAGACGCTTGCGCAGACCACGCTCCCAGTCCGGTATGTGCCAGTTCGTACAGTCGAGTTGGAGACCCATGTCCTGCCCGAGACCGACGAGCTGGCATGTCAGCGCCCAATTGTTACCCTCTGGCCGCTGGAGGAGCAACAAGCCTGCCTGTATAGTCGAAAGTTTAGGCCTATGGACAATGTTGCTGAACGACTTCATTGCTAATCCTTCCAGATGCGAAACATTCGGTTTGAGTTGCAATGCCAACTCACTAGAATACGACCACCAGTTCAGAGCCAGGAGATATACTGCTGCCAGAAGCGGGGGCGAGAACTCTCGGTGGGTTCGCTCATACTTCTCTAAGAACACTTTCTTGTGCAAGATTGGGAAGCTGGGATGTACGATTCTAAAAAAGAGACGTATCAACGCGGAGCCATGTGGTGCTACGGCCATCTCGATAG